AGGATGGGCCATGGGGGGGCGCCGCGGGCGGGGCGGGGGCGGGGCCTGGGGTCCGGGGGCGGGGCCTTCCGGGGCTGGACCAATGAAGGTGAGGGTAGAGCTCCGGACAGGAGGAGGTGTATCTAGCGTGGGCTTTGAAGGTCCCGCTGCGTTTAAGAGTTTTTAAGCCTCTTTACAGATATGTTAGATTCAGTGCCAGGAAGTTCCTCATAGATCATCTAGCCCAACACGTTTCTACGGTTGGAGCGACACGAGGAGTGAATTGCCGGGTTGCTTCCTATGAATGACGATGTCAAGACAATAAGGGCACTAATTTTCAAATTTTAAAAAGAAAAGAAAAAGCAACAGAGTCTCTGTGTTAAAGGTCATTTTTCGGAATCTACGTGGTAAGTGCAGCTGCTGTGGAACCACACACCCCTCCTCCCATTTGTCCCTTTCCCGTAGTCTGTGAACAAGCCCTTGATGATCCAGAAACAATTGAAATCCATTTCTCTCACAGCACTGAGAAGTGTCTGGAAGCCCGGGGAAGGGAGGGTACCCATTCCTTTTTTTTTTTTTTTTTTTTTTTTTTTTTTCTTCTTCTTCTTTTGGCGGCTGGCCGGTATGGCAAGCTGAACCCTTGACACTGGTGTTATCAGCACCATGCTCTCCCAGGTGAGCTAACTGGCTAGCCCAGGAGGATGTATATCGTAAGACCCTTTGGTTTGCCTTGCAGGAGTCCGCTGTGGAAAGTACATCACCTCCCATGGTCTAGCTCTGAACTGTTCTACGGACCTCACGTGGTTTGAGCACATTGTGCCCTGCGGGCTGGCTGGGACAGGCGTTACTTCCCTGAGTAAGGAGCTCCGGAGGCCCGTTGCTGTGGATGAAGTAATGCTACCTTTCCTTGTGGCCTTTAAGGAGATCTACAAATGCACGTTGATCTCAGAGGACATCCCCAGCTGAAGGGCGTTCATGTTACCAAAACCGGGATGGCCCTGCCTTGGAAAGCACCAGATCTACTTGAATCACGGAACCCAGATTCTAGATGAGGCCTGTTATTCACTCACTATGAGACTAGGGGCAAATCATGAGTTCTGAGCCATTGTTTCCGTATATATCCTGGTTTATTTATATCTATTCCTCACCTATCTCAGAGATACTAGATACGAAAACACTATGAAAAGCAACACAGTCTATATAAAACATTAATACTGATATTGACACCAGTTTCTCAGCTTAGAGAAATTCAGCTGTCATAGATTGTCATTTCTAAATTAGTTGTTACTTCCTGAATACTGTATCTAGTTGGGCAGTCCTGGGCTCTAGTTCCTTGGATTTTGTGGGAATCCAATCTCTGGATGGCCAAGGTGATGTGATGTGGTGCTTTTTCATTCTCAAGATACCTGGATGCTTTCTGCAATAAAGTGAAAAGGGAAAGACCTCTTCAAAGAATAAAATGTGATCTTGTCTTCCTGGGTTGGAGTCTCCAAGTCTGATAATTTAGCTATTTTTAGTTGGAGTAAACTGAGTTAGGCCAGAGGCTGTGGGAAAGACAAGAATAATTCTTACACTGTACAAACACCAAAGATAGAAGTGAGTTTTTCTTATATGAGATCTCTAAGTTTGTAAGGCCGTGTGTTATCTATTGCTTCAGAACAAATCACCGAAACTTAGTGACTTAAAACAACAGTGAACATTTATTATGTTACATATTTTTTTGTGAGTCAGGAATTTAGGAGAAGCTTAGCTAGGTGTTTCTAGGTTGGGATCTCCTATGAACTTGCATTCAGGGTGTTGGCTGGGGCTGCTGTCATCTGAAGGTTTGACTGGGGCTGGGATCATCTTCAAAGATGGTTCACACACTTGCCTGGTTGGTTGTGGTTGTTGATAGGAGGCCTCAGTTCCTCACCATGTGGACCTTTCCATAGGGCTGCTTGAATGTTCTCATGACAGGGTAACTATCTTCTCCCAGAGCAGGTGATGCCAAAAAGAGACAAGATGGAAGCCACAATGTCTTTTATGACCCAGCCTTAGAAGTCACATGGGCACTTCTGCAGTCTCCTAACAGATGAGCCCTGTCAGTATGGAAGGGACTTCAGAAGGAAGATGAGGTGAGGGTCATTAGGGGCTATCTTGGAAACTGGCTACCACTGCCTGTTAAGAGTGCATAGAGTCTTGACTGTTCAGTCAGGGGACCCTGGTTCCGGTCCTGTCTCTGTGAAAAGTCGTTTACTCTCTCTGGCTTTAGACTTCTATAGCTCTTCTTCTTGTGGCTCCCATCTTGTCTCTCTTTGTCATCTGGTCTTTTATGACCCAGACTTAGAAGTTAGAAGCCAGAGTGAGTAAACAACATCTTGAATGCAAGTTTTCACTTCAGTTTCCACTTCGACCAGTGCTGTTCAATAGAAATATAATGCAAGCCACATTGTAACTTGACATTTTCTAGGAACCACATTAAAAAGGTAAAAGAAATGGGTGATGTTAATTTTAGTATGTTTTAATTAACCCAATATATTAAAAATATAAATATAAAGCAATATAAATATATTATTAATTAGATATTTTACATTCTTTTTTCCATACTAAGCCTTCAAAATTTGGTGTGTATTTAACACTTATAGCACACCTTCTCTTTGAACTAGCCACATTTTAAAAGTGTTCATTAGTCACATGGGGGTAGTGCCTTAGACTGCCATTATCACATCTAAAGTCCTTTTAGGTTCCCAGGGTTCTGTGGCATCATTGGCTTCTAGGAAGATAACTGACCCCTTCCACATCTGAGATCTGATTTTTGAGTGCAAATACATGTAACTTATATCATTTGTTCAATCTGAAAAGGATTTTACAGGTATATTCCTACTCCTTATTGTACAGAGAAACCAATGCTTAGGAACAACCTTCTCAAGGTCACACAGTAAATTCATGACAAAGCCAGGACTAAGCCAGGGCTGAGTCCCTTTCCCATGCTCTTTTCCTACTGTGCACACTGACTTAGAGCTCAGGACAATATATTTTATGTGTCATAAACAGTTAATATTAGTTGATCAATGGTTTGTCCACCCATAATTTGTCCTGTATCCTTTCTAGGACTTAGTTTCCTATCCATGGGGTTGATGCTGTTGTAGGGGTGTGGGAAGTGGAGAGTGGTTGATAATTACCTTGGAGTATTACTGCCAAGAAGAGAAGTAACTATTGCAGGAAAAATGGAGCGTTAGATTCTCATGACTGGAAAGTCATGCACAGTGCTTCTACCCATCTGATGCTCAGCCTCCCTCTCTAGCAACTCAAGTAAGTGACCATACAGCTTGTTATTCAATGCCTCCAGAGGCTGGGAAAGAAACAAGAATTTACTTAGCATGTATTTATAGTGCCAGGTACTGTGTTAGCCCTCTTAAGTATATTCTCTAATTTGACAGTCTGCACCATCCTTGTGGACCATAGAGATCATTCTGCATGGTGTAGTGGCTGATTGACTTGACCTTCCTGAACCTCAGTTTCATTACATGAAACAAGGATAGTTATAGCATCTACTTCAGAGCGTAGTCCGAATTAAGTGACATAATTACAGGTAAAGCATTGAGTTTAGTATTGGCACAGAGTAAATGCTCAATGAATATTATCATTATTACAATCTGTCTTCCATGAGCCCTCTACACAGAAATTATCCCCAGGTACATTAACTTCCCCTCAAGGCAGTAGGCTCCACAAGAGCAGAGCTATGTCTGTGGTGTTTCCTTCTGTATCTCTAGCACATAGTATTGGGCCTTACATATAGAAGGCTATTTGTAAACACTAACTGGAAATGAACACAAAGTTCCTTGCCATCCTGCCTACCTGTCTGTGCACCAGCCCCCCTCATGTGTGTCCCACAAGGTACTGCAACCACAGCCGAGCACAGCACTGTTGGTGCGGACAGACCAGCGCAGAGCATGGCAAACCTTTGTTCCCTGCGCTGGACTTGCAGGACACAAACTGGCACTCATAGGCTGGAGCGGGCCTGCAGGTGTGTTCTTTTTGGCCTACAAGATTTATGTATACATGTATGTATTATGTATCTATTTAAGTTTAATAGTTGCCAACGTTTAAAAATGGGAAATTTTCACATAAAAATTTGGTCTTCTGGCTTCTCGTGATATTTGTGAGATCAGGAAATATTGGGCCCTCTGTCTGGCAACAGTTGGCTGGAGGTGAGAAGTAGGTGTGTTTTTTTAATTAGGTTCTCCAGTCAGCTGCAGCACCACCCTCCTTTTCCTGCCAGCACACTTGTTGGCATTAGCTTCATAGTTGGTGACTCCCACTCTAGAAATTCCCTTATTCTGAGATGCAGCAGAGTGTGGACCCCTCTATCATAGCACTGGTTCTGTACCATAGTCAAGGGGAGCCCATTAAGAAGGGGCTGTGACTTACTCATTCCTGTGTCCCTGGCCCCTAGCTCAGGGCCTGGCACAGAACAGGCAGCAGGAAATGTATGGTAGTTAATAAAGTTCACCGCAGATTTCTGGCTCTCTACTTTATGGACACATGGCAGGATTGTACTTTACGGCCCCTACATAGTTGGGTAGGGCCAGGTAACTTGTTCTGATTAATGAATTATGAATGGAGGCAGCATGTCACTTCTGAGCTGGAGCATTGAATAGTGGGTGCCAGATCCTTTGGAGTTTCTCTTTTCCCCGGAACAGTGAACGACAATGCTGAAGATGGCAGCTGCTTCCCAAGGGACTGCAGTGAGGAGAGCTCCCTACTGACTAAGGACTCATGTTGGAGTTAAGCCACCTAAATGTAGAGGTTGTTCATTACCACAGCATAACCTAGCCTATCCTGACTAATGCAATATGTTTATATTAATTAGGACTCTTGTATTTGTAAGTGTAGAAACCCATATCTAACTTAAGCCAAAAAAAAAGACAAGGTGGGGGGTTATTAGAAAATGTACTGGGGTCTACCAGAGCATGAAGCCTTTTAGGAATCCAAGCAGTCGTTTCTCTCCTATTCTCTACCATGCTTTATTGTGTGTATTTACTTCATTCCATTTTGCTTCAGCCCAGCTTTCTTTATTTCCCAGGCCACATGGTGGAAAAAGGCTGCTGCTACTCCTGCTCCTACTCCTGCTATTACTCCTGCTGCTGCTATCCATGAATATTGGGGTAGAGTAGTCAAGGAAAATCTTCAGGTTTCAGCTTGGGCAACTGAGTGGATGGATGGTAGAGGTATTGCTAGGATGGAAAACACTGGGTGAGGGCCAAGTTTGAAAAGGAAGAGGATGAGTTCAATTTTTCACAAATCAAGTTTGAGATACTCATAGGAGATGCAAACAGAGAGAGCCAAGAAGCAGCTGGGTGTATGGATCTGGAGCATGGGTGTCATGAGTGATGGATTAGGTCTGGGAACCCTAGGAGAAAGAGGAGGGTAGAGGACTGATAAATATGAGGCACAGGCTGTGAGGAGGGGCAGGCAGAGGAGACTGAGAAGGAGTAGGCGCAGAAGTAGTGCAAAGGAACAGAACAAAACAACGTGACTGTCTCATATAGTCTTCCAGCAACCCAGCAAGATAGGGTTATTTTAGAACCCTAGGAGAAAGAGGAGGGTAGAGGACTGATAAATATGAGGCACAGGCTGTGAGGAGGAGCAGGCAGAGGAGACTGAGAAGGAGTAGGCGCAGAAGTAGTGCAAAGGCACAGAACAAAACAACGTGACTGTCTCATATAGTCTTCCAGCAACCCAGCAAGATAGGGTTATTTTATGGATGAGAAAGCCAAGGCTCAGAGAATCCAAGTGCCTTGTATGAGCTCATGCAGTTGGTAAGGGGCAGAGTTAGTTCCAGGCTCGTGATTTAGGCTGCAAAGGGTGAGTGGGGCAGGCATCCTAGAGGAGAGGAACCTCCAAGAACAGATGGGCAGTGGTTGGGCAGAGCCAGGAGGACGCAGAGCAGAAGGCCAGAGTTCGGCTGAGGTCTGGCCTGTGGGATCGGGTCAGGTCACTGCTGTGGGTTCCTGACTCTCCTTCCTGTTTGAGCAGATCCCACCTCCGGTTTCCCACTGGGGCCCTTCTTCAAGGAAGGAAGCTGAGCACTTGAAGGAGGATATTTAACACCCTGGCTTTTCCTCCTCCCAAAAGCCTCTTCTTGTTTGTTCAGCGTCTTTTCCCCATAAATAAACAGATCATCCAGGGTCCAGTGAACAAGTGCTGAGGGTAAGGATGTGACCAACTGCAGTTACTGGTCCAACATCTTGTTCTTCCAATGAGGCTGGCAAGAAACTAAACATCTCTGGCAGCATGACCAGGTGCACCTTGCTTTGTGTAAAAACTCTCTCTGGAAGACTCCCATGGAAATTGGATTTTGCAATCTAAATCTGATTTCTTTAATCAAATTATCATTTACTGTACATATTATCACACCATACCATACCATATTATAATACCTTAGAGTTAAAAGAAAAAAACACTGCATTCCCACCTAACATATCCTTTTCATTTGTG